GCTCTGCACATAGGTGAGCGCAGAAAGTCACGCTTTGCGGGTTTTTCTCTGTAATTGCACCAAATTCCAGGATGACAGCTGCGCTTTTAAACGTGTTTGCACATGATGAGGAGCTTGTTTCACATTTGTTATCATGAAAGAATTTTTCTTCTTCTTCTGTGACCTTTAAAGAGTCTCTGTCGCCGCTTTTCACTCACTTCTCATTTTTATTTCATCGCCTGCAGAAGTAAAAGAAAAACGCGAGTTTCGGGTGAAATGTTCCGCTTCTTTGAGTTGTTCTGAGTCTGCGCAGAGCCGAGGCCGTCCGTGGGGCAGATGGAGTGTTTTTTCTGAATCGTGTCGGTGCTGCTGTCCGGACTTTTCTTGTCCTAATGAAGCCGCGGAGACGTGTGAGCGGCGGTGGGCTCCACTTCACAGTCGGCGCGTGCGCGTGTGCGTGCATGTGTGCGCTAACAAGGGGAATGCCCCCCTCCCTCCTCCCCCTCCCCTCCTCGGTGTCCCACGCTGGACGCGTTTTTATTTGATTTGAATCATTTTTAATTCAAAATGTGAGAAAAATAAAAACACGTTTTGTTTTATTTTTCACGGCCCTTCGTGATTTTTAGTCTCGAGTGTTGAAGCTTCACAAAGGAGAAAAAGGCCTGAAAAAAAAAATCACAGAAATGTCGGAGCGGATCCGCAGTGCGCGTGAAACCCGGAGGATGAGACGGCACGAGCCCGCGTTTAACCCCTGCAGCTGCAAAAATAAAATCAAATAAAGATAAATTAAAATGAATAAAATATAATTTTATACAATAAAATAAAATGAGCCGATACATTTATTGCAGGCAGCCGGGCTCGTGCACCCAGGAACGGCACGTTTGATTTCAGCTTTCACGTAAAAATAAATCAGGTGTTTCCGCGGGATCCGTCTAATAACTGGAAGGAAGGAAATTAAAATTTTCCAAGAGCTGAAACGCGGAGATGATTTCTGTTTTTCTGCTGTTGCATAACGACGCTGTGGAGGATGGCTCACTGTGTGTGTGTGTGTGTGTGTGTGTGCAGAGGGATGCTGAATTATTCAGGACGCAGAGTCCTCGGTGCTGATGTTAGTCAGAGCTCCGAGCAGGAGGTGAAGGTTTCAGATGAGGAATCAAAAGAAAATCCACGCGCGCGCTTTCACGTCCTTCACGCACAGACCATCAGAACAGAGCGAGGCCAAAATGCGTGGAATGATTCCACGCAGGTGATTTTTCCCTGCGGGGAAACGTCTCCTCCTGCTTCTTCTTTCACTCACAGAGAATCTGATCTTCGTCCCGTTTTCATGTTTCCGCCGTGAATCTTTCGGCGTCTCCGAAATGCTGCAGTCTGATTGGTCCGAGGTTTGGCGCGCCGCTGCAGCACAATCCTCAAAATCATTTGAACAATAAATTTATGACATGCACGTCAAAAACACGGCTCATGTTCACGTGTTTGGCTGTTTTTGAAACTCACACGTGGGCATCAAATTCAGAGTAAAGATCAGAATCGAAACTGTGGAGATTTTGTGGATTTTTAGGGTTAAAATTTCCGTTTTTGGCGCATTTTTACGCACGAAAATGGCCTCGTGTGTAAAGGAGGTGGGTGTGTCCGCCGCGTGAAGCTACAGCACGCTGCTTTTGGCATGACACACTGCAGGCAACAGTGTGTGTGTGTGTGTGGACGCGGGGTGAATGAGTGCACGCGTGCTTGATGGGAGGCGTGAACGAAAAAGAGGGAAATTAATTAATGTGCACGACAGCGGGATCCATCAAACAGGAGGAATAAAAAGTAAATAATTATAATAAAATAATAAAATACAATAATAAATAAAAATAATAAACAAAAATAATAAATAAATAAAGATCATGCGTGGGGGGGCGCGCATTCTTTTTTTAAACGGATCAGAAATAAAAGCATCTTTGGAGACGAGAAAACAGAACACGCGACAAAAACGAGTCAAAGCGACTGAAGTGTGTAAGAAAGAAAACGGAGAAAATATAAAGAATAAAACAAACGCACGCAGCGGGTTTTTTAAGGCGCAAACCAGAAATAAAAACGCAACTTTTGCGCAAGAAAAATGCTGCAAAAAGCCCCAAATTTACCTCCAAACTGTCGCAAAGCTGCGTTTGGATTTCTTTGATTATTTATTAAAAATAAATTCCCGATAAAAACGTTAAAAAACTCAAATTTGAGCTTTTGTGAAGCCGAGACCGGAGAGGCGCGTTTTTATTTTTTACACACTTAGTTGTTGCAGCCGTATCATGCAGCCTATTAGAGATGATGTAATGCTCCAACATACAGCGGGAGAGACAATGGAGAGAGTGAGGGGGGAGGAGGGGGAGGAGGAGGTGCGCGTTCATTCATTTATTCATTCAGATTAAATTTCGGAGCAACAGGAAGCAGAAACGTGAAACCTGCAGCGACAAAATCACGTTAAGTTCAAAATGTTTCCTGAAAGTCGCTGAAGATTAAACACGAGGCAAAATTTAAAAGTGCGCGCGGGAAATAAAAACAGATTTCGATTTTATTCAAATTAAAGATTCAAAAAAGAAAAAAACAGGAAGTCGATCTAAAGTCCAAAAATCAGCTTCGAGCTGCAGAAAAACAAAAACCAGAATCAGGATCATCAAAGAAATGCTGTCACGTGCTGACAGGAAGTGGGACAGAGGAAGGAATGGGGTTCTTTTAACGGTGCCTCACGCGCATCCTCACGCGCATCCTCACGCGCTCGTGTTTCTTTTAACCCAAACACGGATCTTATTGAATCTGCGACCTCCAATAAAGAAAATTCAGCTTTAAAAATGATATTTTTGTTTTATTGTTGAAAAATAAAAAAACATTTTTTCCTTCATCTGACAAACAGCTGATCGGCTCCTTTTTCTACTGATCACGTGGTCTGTGGTGCCTCTGCTGGTCATATAAACCAGTAATGATTTAATGCTGTTCGCTCATTAAACACAACTACACAATGTTACTGTGTAATGTTACATTTTTATAAGAAAATGTGTCCGAGGAGGATTATTAATAAATTAATAACATTTCGTATTATTTTAAATGAAAAGATGATTTTATGGAGATTTCTGTGACATTTTCATTTAATTTAAACAAATAAAAAGAAGTGAAGAGATATTATGGGGACTCATGGGAATATTAAATACATAAACATATTATAATATTAAAAATATAAAAACCTTAAAATAAATCCTCCTAAAGCTGATGACAAAAAGTCAAAAATTCAAAAAGATTCTGAAATAAATCCCAGATACAAAAAAAAAGAGATCAATAAAAACTCCAGATGAACAGAGACGAGATGAATCACACTGAATACAAATATGTTTGCTGAATTAATCTGTTGGACTAAAAAAGGATCATCTTAATATTTTGGGGTTATTTTAAAACTAAACACAAAATGTTGCTTAATGAATGAATAAAACAAATTAATTAATTTTTATTCTGAAAACATTTAAAACCTGTTAAATAAAAATGATTTTTAAATATGTCAGTACGTTACAATAACAGTAATTTAAATAAGGTTCATCATTAATGCTAATCTGTGTCAGTGTCATCAGATTATATTTATACATCGATTAAAATAAAAGACATAATAAAATCGCAGGTTCACTATCAGCTGATGTGAGACGTTCAAACCCAGCTCGTTAAACGCAGCTCTGTGCAGATTTAATGAAGCAGAAATACGAAGACGCAGAAACATGGAAACAATCACGAGTTTCATTTTTCAGAGGCAGATGTGGTTTCTGTCCTAGCACACCTTCACTGCGACACACGTCACAGGATTTATCTTTTCACACTAATGGAACAAAAACGTTTGATCTTATCACTCGGTATGCCAATAAGGACGTATGTGACGAGCTAACACCCAGGCTCTCTAATTATGAAGTAATCAGCTGGAGACAATTGAAGGCCGACAGACTGAAATGAGCACAAAGACAAAGTTTGATCGATGGTTGAGCAGAGATCTGAGGTCAGGCTGTAGTTACTGTAGCTTAGCATGAAGCCTCAGCGAGCCTGGCTTTGACCAAACTCCAGAAATGCATCTTCCAGTTCGCACCAACAAATCTTCTCTCTGGTTGCACAAAGTAACATTTTGTTCTCAGGCAGCATCGAGAGAAATGTGCTCGCTGTCTGGCTTTTATTCAGATTACAGAAAAGTAGGAAAAAGGAGGAAGTGCAGTTTGTGTTTGTGACCACCAGGAGGCGTCAGGAACACAAATGTTGTTATTTAAACAGAAACCGACAAACACGTTGGTATTTAGGCCAAAAACCTTTAAATGATGGTTTTATTTTGAAAAACCGCCTGTTTAA